TTTGGGGCATTCTCAGGTTGGGTTTGGGGCACTCTCAGACAGGAATTGTTGTCAAGGCCGTTGCTGTGTGGGTGGTGGGGCTGAAAGGCTGCAGGGCTGGATCCTCATGTTTTGCTCCATTTCTGCAGGGTTATTTATTTCTTGTGTTTTGGTTAAATGGAGCTGCTTTGTCCTCCTGTGAAGTGTTAAACATCCTCCCTCTGTATCAGAAACAGGATTCCTTTTCCTACAAGGGATGACTGCAGCTGTTAGAGCCATCCCTGGCTGTGAGATGCTCAGGACAGCTGGATCCAAAGCTGGGGTGAACATTGGGGTGTTCCCCTGGCTGAGATCTCTGTGTGCAGGATGGGGGAGGGTGATTTGCTCATCGAGTCCCTTTGCAGCACAAATTGAGGCAGAAATTCAGGGCACTGCCAGAGCCTCTCATCTTCCCCCCAGGCAGGATTTGTGTGGCCATGCCCTGGTCTGCAGTCTCTAACCCAGGGTTTGTTTGATGCCCTTTTCTGCCTGCACAGGGAACAGCAGGCAGCCAGATCCACGGGCACACTTGCTGTAGGCACAGAAGCACAACCAGCTTGGGATTCTCATTTATTTTCTTGCTGTTCCTTGCAGGAAGAAGATGAAACGGGTGTGGGAGAGAGCCGTGGATTTCCTGGCCTCCAACGAGTCCAGGATCCAGACAGAATCCCACAGGGTGGCAGGGGAGGACATGCTGGTGTGGAGGTGGACTAAGCCCTCGTACCTGTCGGACTCGGAGCACTGAGGGCAGCAGAGGAGCAGCCCTGGAGCCGGGTGGGACACGGAGCCTGTGCAGCCCTCGGGGCCCTCGCTGCTGCTGGGAGGAGCAGGGCCTGGCCCAGGGTTGCTCTCACTGCTGAAACTCTCCAAACACACACGTTCGGGGCAATACTGGCTTGGAAAGAAGATGGGCTTGAGCTGGTGGGGAGCTGGGATTGCACCAAAGTGAGCCTTCCACAGAGACCTGGCTGCCCTGGCAAGCAAACAACCTGCCAAGGATAACTGCACCCCCCTCTCCAGGGCTGGGGGGCTCTGCCAGAGCCTGGGGGTGCAAAATTTGACCTCAATTCTGCAAAGGCCAACTGGTGGCAGAGTCCATCAGGGAATGTACTGAAAGATAACATTTCCCATGGAAACATTAGGGTGGCAGTTGCAGGCGTGTCTTTGCGTTTGTTTTTATCAGTGCAGAGACAGTGAGGAAGCACTCGCTGCTTCCCAGCAAGGAAAATGTTTTGTGTTGGCTTCATCCATCCAAAACTGGGGAGAGGGGGAATTGGGGAAGGTGGGCTTGGAGAGAGGGGGGAGCCTGACGTGCCTTGGTGGTTTGGGCTGGGCTGGGGGTGGTGGAGGAGAGTTTGTGATCCTGTTGCATTTTTAAGTCTGCAGTCTGTGTGCTTTATTATTTTCTGGGGGCGTGGGGGGGAATTTGGGTGGAAAATAAAGGATATAGGAAGCTTCTAAAGGTGTTTTCCTGGGGCTGCTGCCCAGGACTGCTCCGTGGCTGTTACAGAGCAGCTTTGGGAGGGCTCTGAGGGCTCAGTGTTCATGGCTGAGCTGGGCAGCTGCAGTGTCTGTGTTGGTGTCAGAGCAGGAGGTGCCAGCTCTGGGGCTGGCGCTGTTCCTGCAGCCCCCCACGGGTCCCAGGAGCAGCCTGGCTCTGTCCCAGCCCTGCTGCATCCTGTCTCATGTCTGTAATCACTTGGTTGCTTCAGTTTCTGTTCTGTGAAGGAACGTTTCTTTCCCAGGAAATGGCACCAGTGCTCGGCAGAGGAGCTGCTCTGCTCCTCCCAGGGCTCTGCAGCAGCTGCTGGGCCTGCAGGACCCAAATCCTTTGCTGGCCTGGCAGGAGGAGTCACGGAGTGAAGCCAGCAGTGATTTGAGCCCCTGGATGTTGCTCTCCCCGAGGACATCCTGGGGCTGGGTGCTGGGGTTGCTCCTGCCCCGGGCCCTGGGTGGCTCAGGGCGCAGCCCTGGGCAGCTGATGCCACCCCAGGTGTGTTCCTTGTGCCTGCTCACCTGGCAGAGCCTGCACCTCTCCCCACGGGGGTGGAGCAGAGCTCTCCAGGAGCAAAACCAGCAGATCTTTCCCGTTAAATGGGGAATATCCTGCATGGAGGTGGCTCTTAGCCCAAATTTTTGGGTGTGGGTGTTTGGGGAGGAGACTCAACAGCTCTCTTAGGCAAGGACCAGCTCCTTGCACTGCAATAAATTGGGAATAAAGGCAACTTGATTTTTCCCACATGTATCATCAGTGCTGCCAGAGAAGATCTCTCAAACACCGGTGCCTCTGTTCTTAAACCTTTTTAAACTCTTGGTGGGGTTTGGGTGAGCTTTTTTAACCATCCAGAAGCAAAGAGTCAGGCATTGCTGTCATCCTTTTGTATTAAACTTGGTTTTGTAGAACAAACTTCAATGGCTTGGTGCTGTTTCTATGTTCCATTTAGCTCTGTAAAAAAATCAATATCCAAAATAAATTTATTACCAATAATTTACTACTTTTATTTGTGCTGAGACATCACAGACTGTCCCGAGTGCTTTTGCTTGGATCGAGTTCCAGCTCTCTGGGGTGTGGCAGGAGTGGTTCCCCACCACTGTGACCTCTGTGGAAAGGGGTGACTCAGTTGGGGTGAATTCATCTCCTCCTGTGGCTCTGGGTGCCAGAGGGGATTTCCAGTGGCACAGGAAGGGAGTGGCACCCTGGCCAGCAGGAGCTGCCTCCTGGCTGTGGTTGTTGCTGAGATTTGGGAACAAAGGGGAGGGAATCAGTGCAAGGCTGATTCTCCTCAGGCCCCACATTCCTGGTGCGATGCTTTTATTGAGGAAAGGCTGCTGAATTCCAGCTGGAATCCGTTCCAGGTTAGGAAATGGTGCTGTTTGGAGCCACTCCATGTGCCAGGGGCTGTTGCTGTCTGATGGTGGCTGTGAGTGTCACCCACCGTGTCCCCTGTTCCATCTCCTCTCTCCAGGTGGAGCAGCCCCATTCCATGCCAGACTGGACTGGAATTCTGGCAGTTTTCCTGGGAAAAGCAGGTTGTGCCCCCCTGCCCTGCTCCCCTCCCAGCCCCCACTGCCAACCAGAGCTGCTGAGGGCCTTTTCCCACTTTTTTGCAAAGTAAATTTGTATAATGAACCACATTTCTATAAATAACTCACCCACTGGAGCTGCTGCACCCCTCCCTGTCAGGGAGGCAAACATGGCCCAGGGAGGCTCTGAAATGAACCCAGCTCTTCATCTTTTCCTTTCCTGCTTCCATTTAGGGCCCTTCCCACGGGATGTTTTTGCTGCTGCTGGCACCAGGGCTGATGCTGCAGGAGTCAGGGCATGGGGCCAGATCTGGAAAGATCCAGGGGAGCTGGGGAGCCAGGCCTTGGCAACCTGGGTCTTCCTTTCATCCGTGTCTTCCATCTCAGCCTCTGCCCTTGCCACCATTCCATCCCTCTGCTCGAGCCTGCTGTCTCCCCTCCAGTTCGTGGGCATTTCCACATCCACCTGAGATAGGGTAAAAATTTAACGGGGTAGAAATCCATTTGGATTTAGGTGAAATGTGCCACCTTGAGCTTGCTAAATGTGCTGTTTAGTCTGGTGACTGCAGCCCTAGCAAAACTACCCCAGCTAAAGAGAAAGAATGCAAATTTCCACACTAAAAGATAAGATAAAAAAGACTCCTCAGACCTTAAAACGGACAGGGCAGAGTGACCCAAGAGTTCTTTCTGTACTTTCTGACAAAAACTGAGTACAAGTGTAACTAGCTATACGTGTAATGCAAAATCAGCAAAATAAATATACCTATTGTGAAATTCTATGCATATAGAAATTAGTAAGGGTAATTCATCCGTGTTTCACACTGATCCTTATCCCCCAGCTGTGAGGTTTTCTTCCCCAGCATTTCCCCCATGGCATCCCTGGGGACCCCAGGCCTGGGCATGGCTGTGCTGAAGTCCTCAAGTTCCTGGGGTGAGCGTGGGCACCGTCCCCTCCTTGTCCTGGGTGCTGCCCAGGCTGGGTGTTCCCTGTGATTCCCTGAAAAACACATGGATCCCATTCCCTGTGATTCCCTGAAAAACGCATGGATCCCATTCC